ACTCAATGCAGCCGAATGCGACATGCAACAAGGAAGTTCGTACTTATAGCTCGGCTAAGAGACGTAAAAAAATGTTCTTAAATTTGATCTTGCTGAGTTACTAGTCAACAATGACAGCGGAGAAGCTTCTTGATCTCTTAGATGTTCTAAATTTGTAACAGCTTGTTGCCGAAGTCACACGTCCTATCTCAAATAAGATACTTGAGCCTGCTATTACGAATAATTTAAACATGTTGCATTGAGTATATGTCTTAGATAAACTATGTGGCCAGTATGACCATCCTATACTAAAGTTATCTTGTAGTTATTCTATGCATTATAATGTTTCACCACTACCACAATTATTCACAATTATAAAGCTGTAGTTTGTTGTAATATTTTTTGGGAATCACAAAAGAAAGCAAAAGGTTTACAAACGACTTCTACCGTTGACTGCCGTTGTTCTACTGTTTTCCGATGTATATTAGATGCATTCAAAATTGCTATACTCTCAATAGTTATTAAGTTCGGCGAGAGTAATAAACCGTAGTTTACTGAAAAGTTGAGACGTCTTCTGTAGAGCCCGGCAGGTCACGTATAACCTGTCCTAACCTATCCTGGAAGGTTAGGACATGTTTAGGTTACGACTTCGCAGTTTACGATAGGTTATAGGTTACGAAAATTTTTACAGGACAGGTTATGCTACCGTACACTGTTTTCAACCTGCAGAAAAAACACTAAGCGCCATCTGTAAACAGGAACCCAGGTCGACGAAAACTGTCATTTAATTGTCCATTAACAGCCTGTTAACTGTATGCCAAAAAATGGCCTGTTAATTGTGTAAAAATGGAATGAAAATTGTCATTTAACAGCCATTATAATGACTTCTTTTTTATTTTGAAATAACGGTGAAAATAATGCCAGATTATAGGCAATGTCCGAAAAATTGTCATTTCACGGACACCATTAAATGGCATTTTCATCCATTTACTAGACCGCGTTAACTAATGCCAAATAAATGTGCATGTTACATGTCCGTTTTGAGGCAGTTTTTTCTCGATTTCAAAATGGCAAAAAAATGATCATAAATTGGCATTTAACAGCCATTTTATGGTCACCAAGTCATTCACCGTTTTATTCTGTCGTCATGACTAGTATAAATGGCTCTGATTTTATATAATATATATTATAATTTAGAGTTTTTCTCTTCAATTATACGAGTTATAGAAACTTGCCTCGAAGATGTGGTCTGTGGTTCTTGGATCGGTGCCGGTGATAGTACCTCAGGCTTTAGAGAATATTTTTTTGACATTTTCTAATAGTCTAAAATTTGATATTTAAATGGCAAAAGAATGGGATCAGCAGGATTACTGGCAGCAGTTAAATGGGTGTTATTTGACCGTTTTTTCACATTTAAACAAATGCGAAATAAATGCATTTGAACGTTCCCAGTTATAATGGCAAAAAAACGGCCTAAAAACATATGGCCAATGACATAAAATTTCCATTTAAATGCATATTAATAGCCTATTAAATGGCATTTAACTGGCAATTAATTACACCGTTTTCGACGTCCTGGGAAGAAATGAGAACTCGAAAAATAGTTTCTATTAGTCAAAAAAAATATTTAGTGCATCAGGAGGAGTATTGGAAACACGAAGACAGTCATTGAATCCAGATGTTGTTGACGATATATTATTGATCAGAAATTTCAGAGATGTGTGATCTTTTGTTGTTATATTTTGCTGCATAAATAAAGTAAAGGAAAAGAGTTTACTTTTTATCTTTATGTGTAACCACACACATATCGTGCATGTGCACATCTATTTAGAGAAGTACGTGAAAAAGGAAAATCTTTTGTATTTCAGCAGGATTAACAATATCCAAATAAATAATAAAAGTTAGTGGAAACTTCTTACGTCTTCGATAGATTCTAGAGTGTCTGCTAATATATCGAGTTTGTTGAATAGGATAAAGATTCAGAGTGAGTTCATGACAGTTTAGGGAAAGCAGAACTGCTCACTAAACATTTTGCTTCGGTTCGTCACACGTTTCCAACAAGGACGTTCGTCCTTTTCATTATCCTCTACCTGTTACTAAATTATTAGATAAAAATACACATGTCCTCATACGATATTGAAAAAACAATTGATAGTATAGGCATAGTAAAAGCGCCTGATTCTTCGTTACTGTGAGGTGCTAAAAGTGTTCCAATTAGTAATGCTCTCGCAACTATTTGCTAGTTATATCTCTATACAGATATTTTTCCAGGAAGTCTAAGACATTTGACAAGTAACGAATCCTATAGAGCCACTACTTTTTTAAAAAATCTTGATAAACAAATTTCTCTTTTTTACAATTACAAAATGTTTCATTGTCGAGTACATAATATCGACAGATTTATGGATATAGAAAATTTTTAGACTTAGTACGACGCCTGTTCTTCAGAGAAATCATATCGTCAGGGTGTACACAGAGGAACCTATGACCATTGTAGAGAGCTGTGGTTAAAAGCAAAAAAAACGATTTTTTTCTTGACGATCTAGATTAACTTAATTTAACTTGTACAATTTTTTTCTGGAACAAGTCAACCATAAAAAAATGATCAACTATCACATCATCATTTAAAGAGTATCTTTGTTCTAATACACGACCGCTTGCGCTGAATAGACGCTCGGATGTTGGTTCTGTTATCATTGTATATTATATTCGCCATATTGTAATTATTGGTCTATCACCATTTATTGTTCTAATGTGTTCAAAACTCATCGAAATCACCCAGTGGCGGATATACGTGAGGGCGAAAGAGCATACACCCCTCTCCCTTCCAAATTCTTCACTCACCGAGAAATCCGCAATTTTCTATCTTTAATGATGGTTTCGTTTAAAAAATATTTAGAAAAACTTACACTACTTCAAACATAAACTTAAAAAAACACTTACACTGCCTCGGAGACCGTCCAAAAGAAATCGTCCCTTCCTTGAAAAAATCCTAGATCCGCCACTGAAATCATCTTATTCGATGATTTCGGCCTTTCTGAGCGCTTGCGCTTGAGCATATCTGACGAAATGTACTCAAAAATAAACCATCAGTATGACTGCAGAACCCAAACGGTCCGTAACGGTCCCTTATTTAGTCTAATATAACATCACTCCATGCGTCTTGAAAAGATCTAGTATATGTGTTAATAGGAAGCTTAGCGGAGCCTGGCAGTGGACTTTGTGATTTAAATACTAGGTTTTTACATCGGCTGGAGCTATGTTCCATGCGATTTTCAAGGCTATTGAAACCACCGGATAGAAGGCCTAGGACTTCAAGAAAATAGAATATAGATTAGATGCAGAAGCTGGAACCTACGGAAAAAACCTAGTATTTAATTCACAAAGTCCACTGCCAGGCTCCGCTAAGCTTCCTATTAACACGTACACTAGATCATTTCAAGATGCATGAAGTGATGTTACATTAGACTAAATAATGAACCGTTACAGTTTTGCAGTCATACTGATGGTTTATTTTTGAGTACATTTCGTCAGATATGCTCAAGCGTAAGCGCTCAGAAAGGCCGAAATCATCGAATAACGTAATTTCGATGAGTTTTGGACAGATTAGAACAATAAAAGACGGCAGGCCAATTTTAGACCTTATGCGGGCTGATTCTACATTAGTGCTTGTGTGATGGTTTGTCTCCGATACAACTCCTCCGGAACGAATCCCGATACAAGTGCCAAAGTACTTTTAATCACACTAAAAGTGAAATATGTCATAAAAATTTTGTAAGGATGTAGGTCCCTATGTGTTACTTAATCAATCGTTGCACGATGTGAATATAATTACTGATGATGATAATGATAATGATGATTAGACAGATTGTATTGCTTCTTTGCCTGTTTATAACATTTTTGCATGATTAATTTAATATATAATTAAGTAGAATTACTATGTGATGGATGAAATTCAACACCGTTTTTTTCCTTCCGCCACCGCTCCTATAGAAATTGCACCACAGTTAATAAATTATATGGGAAATATACTTCCAAATAAAATTTTGAATTTATTTATTACATAGACTTGCTATCTTAAAACAGGAAGTCGATGAGAACATACCAAATCATATTGTTGTATCTGAAAGGAGCATATTTTTCATGAGTTTTTAATGATTTTTTCGAACTTTCAGTACATCAGCCTACGTAGAAGAATACTATTTCCATTCTAACTTGTATATCATGATTGTAGTTGTGTAATCGACCCATTTTGAATGTAGGGGTTTAACGGCATATTACAAACAAAAGATATTCTTCTTATTAGTAAAAGATCATTTTTCTGCTCGAGATAATATTTCTATGTAGAGACTAACGAAGTGCAAGCGAATTCGAAGTGAAGTGTACCAAGATGACTTCATCTATTTGTTTCTGAAAGTTGAATATGTTTCAGAGTGTTATTGAAAGAAGAAAGAGAGAAGTATACTAGAGAGGTACATACAAAAGATGATGCATATTGTGTTCTCTTGATGACTCATCGCTGGTCGACGAAAAGATGATGAGTCACCGTGTTTACCACACAATTTGTGTAGCTATGTGGAGTATAAGAAGGTGGAGTCGTCGATGGAATAAGCATACTTACCTGCCAGAGGAGTGAAGGACGATCATCAATGTTCTTCCCCCAGGTCGAGGGTCCTGCCATTGCACATCGGTGGATCTGAAACTTGCGATAGGCTCTCAAATTGAGGCTTACTCGGCTGGAAAATTTATTCCGCAGGAGATGCGTACGCGCGTCTCCTTTCAAACAAACATATGAAATCGAAGCTTATGGTAGTAGTGCCCTGATAAATGAGCTATACGAGTTCAACATAACAAAAATATATGTCATTCAACTATTATTTCACACAGTGTGATTTTATTAAAACAGTGAAAATTTAATTTTTCAACGAACTTTAAAGTTTGATGCTGAAAATCATTACGAAAACAATGAGTAGATCACAATGTTTCTAGACTAACTGATTCATTAGAGTCCCATGGACTTTCTAAGGTAATTTATTTGTTAAAATCCAATCTTTTATAGAATCTAATCTTAGAATAGATGTTACTTGTTTTATTCTTTGATCACAGTATGGTTTTAGGAATCGATCAACTAACCCAAATGCAAATATTTTGTCTCTACTCAATGCAAATAACACACCGCCCGTATCTCCGGGGCATAAATTAGGACCCAGTTTCGATCCCACCGCTGTTGTACACAAATAAGACGATGATGTTATGTTACAGTCGATGAGTTGTTGTTGAACATATTTTAACCTAATCGATTGTTGGCTATTTGTTCCTAGAGGTCCCCAACCAGTTGCATACAATTGAAAATCGGTTAGTTTTCTCATATCATCCATTAAAGCTAATCGTAAAGGTCTTGCTTCAGCACTTAAATAAAGTAATTGTGTTTTAATAATAACATATTCTTGATTGAACACCATTTCTCTAACATTTGAACTTCTTTCAAAGAGCGACTTTATGTACCGATCATATTTTCCCACATAGAGAACTATCTTTGATTTCTCATAATTTAAATTTTGCTGTTTCAACATTTGTAGAAGCGAAGATGTTTCATGAAAACAATTTGAGACAGTTAATACAGTGTCTTCATCTAATAGTAGTCCGGAGCAAAATGCATCGTATGAAAATTTATTTGATAAGTCGCGATACGAGATGGTGACATGCCATAGAGAGGCACTATTTAACACAGAACCACTTGTACCAATATAATTTAGTAAGTTTGGATGAATTGTAGAAGAAACTGGAAGACAAGAAAAGTAAAATACTCATCGTGAAAATTGTCGCAGCAATTTGGAATACTCACCTTGTTCTGTCCGTTCAAATATGTTTAGTACCCAAAACGATGTTTGCCTACATGCTATTTGTGTTTGTGTTTGTAATGTACATGAATATGTTCCATTGTGAGACCAGTTAACAGTGTCAATAAATAGCATTTCAGATAAAACTTTTATACGATCATCATCCACTATAGTAGCACCGTTTTTCTCCCAAATAATGGAGGTATCATCAGCTTTCGACAAACATTGGATGGAAAAACTCGAGCCATAACGAACATAATATACCGGCTCTAATTGATTCGATAAACCTAGATTAGAAAAGCATTTGATTGCAGCAGGGGATCGTATCACGAAAAAACGTAAGCCTAAGTTTAAGACCGACTTAAGTCTGAGAATTTAAAACCGTATTACGAAAAGACTTAAGTTGGTGATTTGTTTATTTTTGAAAGTCGTTAACAACAGTGACAAACTTGAGACAAAACCCCACAAAATAACGAAATATTTATTCTCTCAACTTTAGAAAGTCGTTTTCGTCGAATCGTATCGTTAAATGCCTGAGCAATTCCAGAAATGCGTCAGTGACGTAAGTTTTTTTATGCGGGGGGGGGCGGGGGGGCGGGGGGCGGGGGGGGGGGGGGGGGGGGGGGGGGGGGGGGGGGGGGGGGGGGGGGGGGGG